TGCTTGTATATACACACACATGTGAACTGTGTTTAATCAATATATCACATAGGTTCTCCTTTGGCCTATGTCTCTTACTCCTCCATTGAGGTACAAGAAACCCAGTGGTGGGATTCAAATAATTTACCAACCAGTTCTCTGCCCTAATGACCAGCTGGGTAGGTGGGGCTCGGTGATCATGTGGGCATGGCTAAGTCAATGTCACTCAGGTCGATGGGCACTTCGCCTTAGTTGTTACAATGGGTTAACTGGAGAGGCAGTTTCTGTAAGCAGGGCAATAAAAGATTAGGCTAGAAACAACACCAGAATGTTTCCTTCCTGCCTTCCTTACAGGATTAGCCGTGTAAAGTGGGAAAAAACAAAAGATTTATTCCAACAACCGGTTCTCCGAACTGCTTAGAATAGGTGCGAACTGGCTGAATCCCACCACTGAAGAAACCAGTAATTCATATCAGTATGCTAGCTTTGGAATTAATTAACTACTGTTTGTTAATTGCAACAAAAAAAATCAGAATCAGACAGTTGGTGTTTTCCACCACAGGATTAATCTTACTTGATGATTAGACAACTAAGGTTTTTTTTTATTTACATATAGATGACTTTTACAGTTTTTAAAATCTTATCAACAATCCTGAAATACATTATATAATGTTTAAATTCTGGGTTTGGTTTTTTTTTGTGAAGGTCGTCTTCAGATACAGGCAGATCGTTACCAGCAGCATATTAGAACCCGAGATTCATTAATTCAATCTTTGGCAGCTCAGTTGGAATTGGAAGGATTTGAAAGAGCACCTTTAAACGAAAGGCAAATCAATAATTTTCAGAGGCTGGTAAAAGAGAGACAGGACAAAGATATGGAAACTGCTAATAATTTAATGGTAACTATTTGTGTTTGTACATTTTTAAAGGCTCAGTTGGTCTAAAATAGGAAAATAATCTCTGTACTCTAAATTGTAGTGAGATTAGGATATAAATAAAAGCATATTTCTTTTAAAGAACACTGAAATAGTATCTTATAGGGAAATTCATATGAGTCATTTTTACTGTATGTTCTTTTCTTTTTGGTTACAACTGGAGAAAAGTAAACTTGATGGCAGGAGTATTTTATTTGGCAGAGATAAGGAAAAATAGCCAGTAAGAACAAAATCTTGGGGTTTTTTTCTTTTTCTGATTTTTTTTTTTTTGCTTTACCCCAGTATATTTCTGTTAAATATCCCAGAAACTACTTTTGAATAGAAATAAAAATAAATGTATTATATATGCATTAGAGACAACTTCTGCAAGCATAAGTATGTCACTGGTTAAATAAAAAAAAAACCTTTCTGATATGTTAGTCTGCCAGTGCAGCAAATTAGATGGTGAGTAACCTGGCATTAATTTGTGACATGTTATGTTCCAGAACCAAAGAGCTCATTTCAAACAAAAGGCAGGTTATGAGAGGGATTCTAGCTCAGCCCTTATCAGTGATTTTTATTGACTTTTTAAATATAAAACATTACTTTTAACAGTAAATTTTCATACATTAAATTTGATTAAGTTACAACATCACTGAAAAAAGTGACATAATCTTTTTTCATACTTGCAAGTATCGCCGTGGTCATTTGATAAAAATTCAGACACTTTGCAACTAACCTTTGCAGTGTCCTGGGGTCATCTGATCACCTTTTGTGACCTTCTGTCAAAGCAAAGTCAGTGGGATAGCCAGATTCCCTTAATAACCATGCTACTAACTGCAGTGATTCACTTCATAGGTGTGGCAAGAAAGGTTGTAAAATGGGGCAAAGCTCGCTTAACAAATGTCTCACTTAGCAACATAAATTTTGGGCTCAATTGTGATCGTAGGTTGAGCACTACATGCACAACCTTTGTTTAAATAAACTGTGATTTTTATCTCTTTTTCAGAAAGAATTTAGCGAGAAGGAAACAATTAAACAGAAACAAATGGATGAAATAAGGGATAAAAAAACTGGACTTGAAAGAACTATTGTCCTAAAGGCAGATATTCAAAACAAGAAACAAGTTGAAGTAAAGAATCTGAAACAGGAATTACATCAGCTGGAAGGATCATCAAATCGACTCCTAGAACTGGACCAAGAATTTACAAAAGCAGTAAGCCTTGGTTAAGAAACTATATATGCAATAAAACTAAAAGATAAACAAAGCTGTTCATATGTATAGTTTGTTCTAAATACTACCTAAACACATATTCTGAAACTGGTACCTCATTTATTGTTTCCAAGTAGGATGATATTAAACTCACAGCTTCCCCATGTAGTCCAATTCAAACCAGGCCATAGGTAAAGGTCAAGGTTCCCCTCGCACATCTGTGCTAGTCATTCCTGAATCTAGGGGGTGGTGCTCATCTCCGTTTCAAAGCTGAAGAGCCAGCGCT